TTCAAAAAAGTTTTGGCCACCCTGTATGTACTGTAGTTGTACCGGGGTATTCCAAAGTATTTGTAGACCACTGTATATGTTGATTCAAGATATTCACTCTTAATGCCATTCTATCTTCAAGGAAAGGTTGATTGAAGTATGAAATTTAATATTAAAAGATTACATTTTAAGACCCTTTTTGGCTTTCAATGTAATATTTTTTTTAAATAGTTTTTAAATCTAAATTCACGGATTTTTTATCTAGGGGATATAAGTGCAACCCTCCAGTATGGGCGGGGCACTTTCTCACTTCTTCCAATCAGGCCACGCCCTACTCTCCAGGTAGGCAAATACTTTAGAGCTCTGCATTTTCTTTAAACTAATTTAAACTCCCCCTTCCTCTCATGTTATGTCATATGCTCAGAAGAATTTTTTTTATCGCCGAACACTTCACCTTTTTGTGTTAAAATAAATGAAATGGTGAGAAAGTTATAAAAAAGTGAAATAGATCAAAAGCTTTGGTTCCCTCTTCGCTTCAACTACTTTTTCTTCCTATTTTTAAACGTCAGTTCTTAAATGTATTTGATTGGAAATAAATTAAACAGGCCAAGAATGCGATTCTGTAAAAGTTTAAATATAATTAGCTATCAAATTCTGTAATGCTTTACATGAAATTTCAGTGAATAATCTGGTTTTTTTAGGGTTTTATTCACTGAATTGGGGAAATAAATGACTCAAAGAGGAAAATAAGCAAATTTTTGGGTTAAAAATATGAAAAAAGGATTTCCACCCTCCCAGGGGGGGGGTAGTTACTCTTAAAATATACATTTCTGAACTTTTTACCCAATTTAAACAATTTTAAGAACAGTTTAACATTTACAGTGGACACAGTAGAGGTGTATCTGATACAACAAGGAAGAATATTAGAATAGTGTTCGATGCACTGCGTGCTAACCCTAAAGTGACAGTTCAGAGATTGGAAGGTCTTCTTGGTCAAATACCTCGCAGGTGTGCACATTTTACAGAGATGGAAATTTACGAGAAGTGTAGCGACTGTTAAATTTTAACTTCTTTTTTTAATTCATAAATTTCCAACCCTTGATTGTTTTATATTGAGCAATCGATTGATTCAAAATACCGATGTAATGTTTTTTTAAAATTATTTAGTTATAAAAGGTAGATTATTCTTTAAAGTAAATGCAAAGAAAGTCAAGAAATGTTTTTAAAAATAAAAATGTTTTGAACGTAATTTATTTGTTAAGTGAGAATATTCTTATCATCCACAACGAGGAGGGATATCATCTTCTTCAGAAATGTGTTGGGATCAATAATGTTGATATGATCAGGTATAACAGGGATCAATAATCATTGATTGATTGATGAATTGATGGATTGATTGTTTAGATGGTGTATATCAAGAAATATAGATATAAACCGTGGTTGCTGCTCTTTGCCTCTTCATATTGCGTGTCTGAGGGTAAGTTTTTTAAATTGAAAATTGTCAGGGGTAACCAAACCATTTCTTTTTAATAAATAATGAAACAGGGGACCAGAGTTAATTAATAGCGAGAACTAGCTAAACCGCACACACGTATATCCAAGGTTATAATGCAAAGAAAGTTAATTGCTTTTGCGTATTCTTTGTGCACATATTGAAACCAGTTCTCTCTGGGCGGTGTTTGTAAACAAGAATAGATGCATCCGTGTTCTTTTATTATCCGAGGTGGATAAAAGCATTTAATTTTGATTACTATGATAATTTATATAATAGTTTCTTATGACCAGAATATTTCATTGATTTTTTATGTGAAAATGGATCTCATGTCAGGCTGTGACATCCGTCTTGTGTTTACATTACCGCCCAGGTACATTACACTGCAGTACTGAAAATGTGTACACCTCTGCAATAACTATCTTTACATTATAATTCTTTGCTTAAATCTAACCTTTTTCCTTGCTCGCTGTTTAAAGCAAAAGAGAATTGGTTGAACCACTTATGCGTGGTAACAAACACATACCTGAACCCTGATTGGATCAGGCGCTAATAGACTCGGCATACAGGAGTGGGAGGGAGAGGAGAGATGGTGGGAGGAAGAGAAGAGATGGTGGAAGGAAGAGGAGAGATGGTGGGAGGAAGAGAAGAGATGGACGTATGCGTAGTTCAACCATGTCTCGCTATTTATTAAATATTTAAGAAACTACTCCCTATCCCCTTGACTGGATGGAAATAAAAAATTGGACATTAACTGGAAAGTTTTCCCAATTTTTAGTATTTATCCCCAAAAAATTATAATAATTTTCCCGAATTTTCGGGGGACTTGAAAATTTTTGTCTTGTTGAAGAGGGCGTTAAGGGAAATGATTATATAAATATCCCTGTAAATAAATAATTGGATATATTGTAAAGGGATTTGAAGATGCAGTAGAACTCTTACTCAAGCACGGAGCTAGGATAGATGTTGAGGTAAAACCGTTGGTTTTCTGGAAAAAGTCGAAGATTTTTTTGGATATTCTAATGACCACTTGATTATTTAAAAAATAAACTGCCATTTCCTTGCTCGTCTGTGATTTAGACATTTACAAGTCATTTTTGAAAAGATGCAGTAACTTGATTTTCAATTATGTTTACATAAAAAAATCTGAACACAATGCATATTTTGTTAACAGGGGTTTGTTGAATTGTTTCAGTTTCACGATAGCATACTTAATAGTTTTGGCAAATGCTGTAAATATTTTTTTTGATGATCAAAATAACACTATAGTTAAGAATACATAACCCATCTACCCAATGGACTTGATTGGTTTGCCAACTTTCCGGAAGTATCTCCTTGATTCTCCTGGCAGGGGAATACCTAATGGAGGGGTTAAAGGTCCGGACTGAACGGGTTTGGCAGGGTTTGGCAGGGGAATACCTAATGGAGGGGTTAAAGGTCCGGACTGAACGGGTTTGGCAGGGGAATACCTAATTGAGGGGTTAAAGGTCCGGACTGAACGGGTTTGGGTTGGTGCTTCCCACATCTTGGGGCGGTCTGGGGGGTCAGGATATCATACAGATAACATTTCCTTATGTTCCTTTCCCATCCACTACATTTTTTTTATTTATATAAAAACCTCTTCAAAATTTGACAAGATTTTAGTGAAAAATATTTCAGGTTTATTTTTGCAAAATTGGGGGAAATATGAAATTTTTATATGAAATATATGAATAACCCAGCCCCCATTTCATAATGCAATTGTTAATAACTATGTATGCAAGACGTTTCATTTTGTCAGAGTCGCAGATAAATAAATATTTATTTCGAATTTTTAAAACCAAGAAATTTTTGTAATATCAAGATTGTATTCACGTGTTAAGTCTTTTGTGTTAGACAAATAATATTCTCTCTTGTTGATTTGATTTGATTTGTTTTGGGTTTAGAATAGTTGTAAAGCTGCTTCCTTTGATTCCTTTGAGCACTAAGTAGGTTTTGAAATTAAAACCTGTAGGAATATAACCCCTGCAATTATAAAAGGGTCATTTAAGAAGGCCTCTGAATTAAGGAATTGAAAATTGATCGCATAGTAAGGAATTTGATACATTACTTTTTGTAACCGAAACTGACTGACTGACTGACTGACTGACTGACCGACTGTTTTATTGATTGGTTTTTTGAATTCATTCATTGCTTGCTTTATTGATGGATTGATTTACTGTCCGACTCACTGATGGTGAAATGGTTGATTGATTAAATAATTTGATCTTGTTTGTACTGACTCATGGATTGGGTAAATGATTAATTGATTGATTGATCGCTTGTTTGATTGATTACTTTTTTATGGATGGTTAAATAATTGATTAGTTAAAACTTGTTTTTAGGAGTTCTGACAAGCTTCAGTGTGCTATATACTACGCTATTGACGGAGATCAGGTGGATATCCTTGAACTGTTGGCCCAGCAGGGAGAAGATCATTGGCTTCCCTGGCAGCAGAAGCGACCCCTACTCCATATTGCCTGTGAGCGCGGAGCTTGGAATTGTGTTAAATATCTTGTTTCAGGAACAAAAAACAAAGAAAAAAACATTTTAAAAACATTTTTTGCGTATTGAATTTTTATATTTATATTTATATTTATGTTTTTATTTTCTCGAAAAATCATTTTTATTTCTACCCCCCCTTTGGAAGATAATTTTTTGCCCCCAGAAATTTTAAGATATGCTTGCTTTGTTTGCTTGTATTTTTTTACATAATGAATTAATTTTTAAACTACTTGTAACAACATTTTTAAATTGATAATGTTTAAACATTTCACATCAGAAAAGAGAAATAACACACAAAACGTAAACATAACTTAGCATTGTCGTGGGACGCTGATTTTTTGCATGGGAACTCACCAATATGTATTGTAACTGCAAAATGCAATTTTTTAAAGATCTAAGCAAAAGTGCGCGCGTGCGCTTTTAATTGAAAAATTTGTTTTTTCTTCACATTTACGAAAAAATTCAAGTTTATTTTTTAATAAGTTGAGCAAAGTTCATAACAAAAGTAGCATGCGATATTTCAAACAACAGGTAAATTGGAACGTGGAATTCATTTCCGAGGTCAAAATCAGCGTCCCACGACAATGCTAAGTTAAGTTTGAACACTGTTTAAATTTTCCGGAGAGTAATATGTTTTGTGCCCTGGCGTTTTAATCTCCAGTCTGGTATTTTTGTGAAGATTTTTACTTGTTAATTTTGCCAGAGCGAAGTGATGAAATAAACCAGTGTTACGACGAGTACTACCCTATCCATCAATCTACACTACATGATATCAAATTTTTAGGTCAGTGTTCATGGATTTAAAATAAATTTGTATCTTTAGATTCGGATTCTGAAAAAGGTTTGGAAAATTAACTTTCACAGAAAGTATTTGACTTCTAAATATTTTTTTTCTTTATTAATATGTTTTTAATTATTTTGCGAGCACTCCCTTTAAAAGCTAGAATAAAATTATTTTAATAAATACAGGTTAGTTAAATGAACTTTTTTAATTTGTAAACGAATTTAGTGTTTTCAATGATATTTACAACAATATTTTTTGAAGATTGCTTACTTTTAGAATTGCTAATTCAATGTGGCGCTGAGACGACTGTGCGGACTAGCACCCAGCTGATGACAGCGCTTCATGTTCTTCTTCTTCAAGGGAAGAAATCAGCTGTTGATACGCTTCAGGTAAATCAAAAGGGGGAAGGGGGGCTATGAAGTTTTTTTTTGGAGGGGGGGGGGTGATGGGGAAATTTGATTTGGGATAAAATGTGTATTTGGAAACGTTAAACCTATAAAACAAACTTATAAATTTCTTTTCTTTAAACTTTTCCATAGAAAGTCATGTCTCTTTAATCGTTTAAAAAGCAATTAAAGCCTGAAAAAAGTTATAATATAAAAGGGGAGTCGTCAATGATTTTTTCATTAAAATTAGAGAAGCAGTCCAGGTTTTAGGCTTTTGTGCAATTCAAGTTTCACTCCGAAAGCGAACTCATTTTTACTCAACTAGAAATTCAAGGCGCTTCGCGCCCTTCTTTCTAGCCTTAGAGGGCGCTTCGCGCCCATCTTCTAAATTAATTGTGAGCATGTTCTCTTTGTGTACATCGTAAAACAAAACAAAAATAATTCGCGGATTTTCACAAAAAATTTCGCGGATTTTCAAAATTTTAAAAAATTTAATGACGATCGAATTTTGATGGAGAAAAATATTTAAAATTTCAATCATTCATAAACCTTCCCTGGGGTCCCTAGATGTCCCACAAAAAATTTGGGCCCGATCGGTTCAGCCTTTTTGACGTTTATTGGATACAAACAGACAAACAAACAGACAGACAGACAGACAAGCCAAATTTATATATAGATTTGGGTATACTTGGTGGTGAACTCCAAGAAGTCCAGGTAGGACCATGGTAGGAGTGTTGTGAGAACCTGTGACTGCTTTAGGTCGTACTTATGGGTCAAATAAGCTCAGGAAGCAGTCCCCTTAAACCATAATAGTTTTTGATTCTCTAACCTCAGAAGGAAGAAAGTTCCATTTCTCTGGGATCCTTACACTAAAAAAGTTTATTTTATTTCTGTTCTGGTCTGTTTCAGCTGGAGATTCAAAGGGTTTGAGGTGTGTCTTGTCACTCTAGATTGAGTGGACCACACAAAAGAGAACCAAGTGTTACTGTTCACCTTGTCAAAGCCCTTCAGTATCTTAAAGCTTTGGATTAAATCAGTTCTCAGTCTTCTATCTTTGAGAGTTGTAAGGTCTAGTTCTTTCAGCTGTTTTTCATAGGTATTTCCTTTTAACCTGATGTATTACAGTACTGCTCTTTTCTGAACCTGCTCTAGCAATTCAACATCTCCTGATGTTCATGGAGACCATGCTGGAGTACAGAACTCCAGGTGTACCCTGACATATTGTACGTAGAGTTTCAGAAATATATTTCTATCTCTAAAGTGGAAAGCTTGACATATTTTACCTAAAACTGCATTAGCTACTCTGGCTTCTGTGATGCACTGGTTTCTGGGCTTCAAGGATTTATCTATGAGAACACCGATATCTCGTTCTAAAGAGGTTTCAGTCAGCTTTTCACCATTCATAAAATACTCAACGTTGGGGTTGGTGCGACCAACATGCACTATTTTATATGTTTTAACATTAAATTCCATCCCCCAATGTATCAGCCCAGTTGCATAGGTTGTTCAAACAATCTTGGAGTATTTTTCTATCGTTGTCAGAAGTTATTCTCTCAATCTGGCCAAGCTTTGTATTATCTGCGAACTTTCTAAGGATGCTTATGAGTGCGGCCCTGAAGTCTAGGTCATTAATTTATATAAGGCCGCTTAAAAATATTAATATTGTCTTTAAGGTCCGACTTTCCCCCCAGATCATCAAAAATCATCATGTAATTGATTCTTTTATTTAGATAACCCTGTGTGTCCTAATTGTGTAATTCCTTTTTTAAATACAAATTTAATATTTTAGACCTTAAAACTTCTTCTTGAGCACGGGTTGAAGGAACACATAAATGAACCAGATTCTCTAGGAAACACTCCCCTTCACGCCCTAATAGTCAGGTACTCCTCCACTTCACGCCCTTATAGTCAGGTACTCTCCCACTTCACACCCTTAAAGTCGGGCACTCCCCCACCACACGCCCTTATAGTTAGGTACTCCCCCACTTCAGGCCCTTATAGTCAGGTACTCCACCACTTCAGGCCCTTATAGTCAGGTACTCCACCACTTTACGCCCTAATAGTCAGATACTCCCCCAATTCACGCCCTTATAGTGAGGTACTTCCCTACTTCACATCCATAAAGTCGGGCACTACCCCCACCCCACGCCCTTATAGTCAGGTACTCCCCACACTTCAGGCCCTTATAGTCAGGTACTCTCCCCACATCAGGCCCTTATAGTCAGGTACTCCCCCCACTTCAGGCCCTTAAATTCAGGTACTCTCCCCCCCTTCAGGCCCTTAAAGTCAGGTACTCTCCCCCCTTCAGGCCCTTAAAGTCGGCGGGCACTCCCCCACCCCACGCCCTTTTAGTCAGGTACTCTCCCACTTCACGTCCTATTATTCAAGAACTTCCCAACTTCACGTCCTTATAGTCAGGTACTCTTCCTACTTCACGTTTGTTAGTTAAGTACTCCCCCACTTCACGTCATTATAATCAAGAATTCCCCCACTTCACGTTCTTTTAATCAAGTACTCCACCACTTCACGTTCTTATAATCAAGTACTCCCCCACTGCACGTCCTTATAATCAAATACTCCCCCACTTCACGTCCTAATAGTCAGGTACTCCCCCATCCCACGCCCTTATAGTTAGGTACTCCCCCACTTCTCGCCCTTATAGTCAAGTACTCCCCCACTTCACGCCCTTAAAGTCAGGTACTTCCAAACTTCACGCCCTTAAAGTCGGGCACTCCCCCACCCCACGCCCTTAAAGTCGGGCACTCCCACGCCCTTATAGTCAGATACTCTCCCACTTCATGCTCTTATATTCAAGTACTCTCCAACTTCACGTCATTATCAAGTACTCCCCCACTGCACGTCCTTATAATCAAATGATTCACTTCACGTCCTAATATTCAGGTACTCCCCGACTTCATGCCCTTATAGTCAGGTACTCCCCCACTTCACGTCCTTATAATAAAGTACTCCCCCACTTCACGTCCTTATAATACAGTACTCCCCAACTTCACGCTCTAACTAGTTTGTATTCCAGGTATGCTCTAGAGGAGAGGAGATGTGGATACAATGATGATCCAGCTCCATGGAATAAGTGGGATATGCTCACACTCACTAGATACCTCATTCAGAACGGAGCCAGGCCAAGTATTAATCAGGTACAGATAGGGCATTCAGTATATAAGTATGTACACTAGGCTTGTACAGTGTATATATTTAACTATTTAGGCGATGTCCTGACTTTTTATTAATTTTTGTTTGGATGGTTGGTTGGTTGGTTGGTTGATTGGTTGGTTGGTTGGTTGGTTGGTTGGTTGGTTGGTTGGTTGGTTGGTTGGTTGGTTGGTTGGTTGGTTGGTCGGTCGGTCGGTTGGTTGGTTGGTTGATTGGTTGGTTGGTTGGTTGGTTGGTTGGTTGGTTGGTTGGTTGGTTGGTTGGTTGGTTGAATGCAAATTCATTAGTTAATCGGCTGAAGCTAGGAAATTAGACGTATAAAATATTGGTAAAGTTTGGGTTGTGGAATTTCTGGAGATAAAATGAAGAAATACAATTTATTTTATTGATCATAAACGATTTGTTTAGGCTCGAAATAGTGCATTAGCTTGTGTGCTTCGCCATGTAACAGACTGGGAGTTTAGATATGATCTTCTCAACATGCTGTTGCAGGTAGGACAATTAATCTTTTCCCCACCTTACCTACCTCCGGAGATCCAAATATTGAAGGTCGAGATTTAACTTTGATATTTTGGAGGGAGGAGATCCAAATATTGAAGATCAGGATTTAACTTTTATATTTAGAAGGGCGGAGATCCGAAAATTGAAAGTTGGGATTTAACTTTGATATTCAGGAGGGCGGAGATCTAAATATGGAAGATCGAGATTTAACTGCGATATTTAGGAGGGCGGAGATCCAAATATTGATGGTCGGGATTTGACTATGATATTTAGGAGGGCGGAGATCCGAAAATTGAAAGTTGGGACTTAACTTTGATATTTAGGAGGGTGGAGATCCAAATATTGAAGGTCGGGATGGCAGTGTTCCTCTAATGGTTTGTCTAGTCCCCTTAATCAACAAGGATCCTCTACATCATTTCTCTCATCTTATGAAGGCAAGTCCAGAGTTCAATCTTTAAACATATTTTGCTTGTTTGATGGTTTGTTATTTGTTTTTATCCAATTTATGTCGAAAACAGCTAAACCGATCTGGTTAAAAAAGTTAGGTCACAATCACTTGACCCTAAGAAAGTTTTTGGACGGTCAAAATAAAAAATATTGCTGAGAAAAAAGGCAATTTTCAAAAACTTCGGAAATCAATCAATGCTAACAGATAACACGCGAATATATTAGTTTTACGATCTACGATGAGTCCAAGGACCAAAATACTGATAAGTTTGTTTAGGGCATATTATTTAAAAAGAACTAGAATGCTTAATTATTTCGGACACAATTGCTTGCTCAATTGATTATTTAAATAAGATTTTTAAATAAATTTCTTTCAAGTATTGAAAAGGAACAATCACTCAAACATCAATATTCAGCTACTTAAATGGGCCCCATTATTTTCACAACTTTTATGGGAATTTTAGAGTTTTGAAAAACTGAAAACATCGAAAAAGTAAAACGTTTATTAAAGCGTGGATTGAATTATTTTCCACTCTATACTCATTTTTATCTTATCATACACTGACAAAGAAATTTTCAGGTTTGTTACCTCAATTGTGTCCGTATATTGTGCAAGTATGGAGCTAACCCTAACTGTTCTTCCAGGTAAAAAAAACGCAAAACATTTATTTTTTCAACTTGTAAATAAATTCGGAAGCCACCTATCTGGAGATATCCTGACTTGGTGCGCACGATCCACCAAAATTTCTTGGCGAACAGACAAACAGAGATTACTACTTTATATATATTGACTTATCAATATTTCAGATCAAACCTGACCCCCCTCCATGTTCTGGTGTTTACTGGAACCGAAAACATATCTTTAGCTCGACAGGAGGAGAAAAAAGAAGGTTTGTTTGTCTCGGGGATTCTCACTTTCAGCCATCTTGGTTTATAATTCCTCCATTTTGGTTTTAAATTCCTCCATCTTGGTTTATAATTCCTCCATCTTGGTTTAAAATTCCTCCATATTAGTTTATAATTCCTCCATCTTGGTTTAAAATTCCTCCATATTAGTGTATAATTCCTCCATCTTGGTTTAAAATTCCTCCATCTTGGTTTAAAATTCCTTCATCTTGGTTTAAAATTCCTCCATATTAGTTTATAATTCCTCCATTGCTGTGGTTTATAATTCCTCCATCTGGTTTTATAATTCAGGGGACATTAGTTGCAAAACTAACACTTGGCCCATTTCTAACACTGAATGTTACAAATGGGCAAAATTGAAAGACTGGGATCCCGGTCCATATCCTTCAGAATTCCTTCGTCTAGGTTTATAATTCCTCCATTTTGGTTTATAATTCCTCCATCTTGTTTTATAATTCAGGGGATATTAGTTCCAAAACTAACACTTGGCCCATTTCTAACACTGAATGTTACAAATGGGTTTTTTGTGATCCCGGCCCATATTCTTCAGAATTCCTTCTTCTAGGTTTATAATTCCTCCATCTTCGTTTTTAATTCCTCCATCTTGTTTTTCAGCATTTGAGTTTATTCGGAATCTTCTGACCCTTCTTCTACAGCATGGTCTAGATCCAAATGTCAGGTGAAGAAAAATTGAAAGAACAAACCAAAATAAATCAATATCGAAAAAAAAGTTTTGAAAAACAACAAAGAATAACTTGAGTTATTAATTTGAAGTTCGAGTTCATGAAAAATACAAAAACTCATTTTTATTGAATATTGTATTTTCTTCCAGATATTCTTCAAGATCCCATCACATTCTTCTCTCTCTAATGGACATGGTTCAGAACGCGAGGTCACCTTCCGACCTCAACTACGTGTACTCTTTGACCTTGACCCTTCTACAGTACGGAGCTAACCCTAATATGACCGTTAACGGCGGAAGGTCAGAATTTATAACATAAAACTAAAAAAACCATGTCTAAATTTTAAAAAATATCAATTTATCATTCACAAAAGATTTTTAAAGATATGCGATGTTGTCTAATTGTTTTAATTTCTCAGATCCTTAGCCTAACTATTCCGTTTTTAAAGGCAATTTTTATTTAAGAAATTAACCACTTATAGATTTTCCATTTGAATTTGAGCTTGACTGCTGATGGCCTTTTGATCAAGCGCGATTGATTGATTGGTTATTTATTGATTTATTGTTTGATTTCAGTGGAAAGCGTCGATATAGTTCTAATCACTCCCGTGCTGGAGATATTTTTATGATGAAATCTAGTCACCAGGTATATTTATTTAAGAATTACCCTTACCTCCCCCCCCCCCAGCTGGGAATGATTTTTGAAAAATAAAAAATTGGATATAAAAAGGAGAGTTTTTTTCCTTTTTAAAATTGTCTTCCGAAAATTAGGTAATTTTTCCCCATTAAGCGAATAAAACCCTAAAGGATTTGCCGCTTTGCGCAAAAACTCCATACTATGTTTGGGGGGGGGGGGGAATATATTTTTCAAGAAAATAATTAACCCCGTAAATAAGGAGGAATGGGTAATTTTATTTTATTAATGCTTTCCAAGTTTACAAACATTTTTTTGTTTTTGCGGCAAATATGTTTATAAAATGTTTTTGCGGCAAAAATGTTTTTTTCTTATGTTTTCGCCGCAAATATGGTTATTAAATGTTTTCGCGCAAATATGTTTATCAAATGAAATTCTTTTCATTTCTTAATTCGCAATGAGCTGAACAATTCTCCAATGTTTTTTCTAGATTGATGAACTATATCATTTAATTAGTTATTTTATTTCCAGGTTTTGTTCCATTATTGTCATATTCTGATCAACAAGGATAAATTGCTGTGGGATCCGGATCAGACTTATACCAGGTCATTTTTTTTAATTAAACATTTTTTCCAGAGGTAAAATTTTTGCATGTTAAATTTGTTCAAAAGTTGCTTAGTTGGTTTCCCTCTTCCTTCTTACGGATTTAACGAATCTATTATGTATAGATTGATACGACTGTATTTCCTGTCAATGAAGTCCAAGGAACTCTATCATTGTTTACGAATATAATATGTATATTGTATAGATTGATACGACTGTATTTCCTGTCAATGAAGTCCAAGGAACTCTATCATTGTTTACGAATATAATATGTATATTGTATTGGCTGATACGACTGTATTTCATGTCAATGAAGTCCAAGGAACTATATTATTGTTTACGAATATAATATGTATATTGTATAGATTGATACAACTATATTTCCTGTCAGTGAAATCCAAGGAACTATATAATTGTTTACGAATATAATATGTATATTGTATTGGCTGATACGACTGTATTTCATGTCAATGAAGTCGAAGGAACTCTATCATTGTTTACGAATATAATATGTATATTGTATAGATTGATACGACTGTATTTCCTGTCAATGAAGTCCAAGGAACTCTATCATTGTTTACGAATATAATATGCATANTTTGATTGTTCATGGTATATGTATAGCAGGAGTTTCTATTTCCAATGTGCATGACTTTGCATTTATCAACATTAAACAACATACCCCAAGTTTCAGCCCAATCACAAAGTTTATTAAGACAGTTTTGTAATATATTTTTGTCACTTTCGTTTAACATTTTTTGGGCAAGTTTTGTATCATCCGCAAATTTTTTTAACACAGAAATATGTGCACAAAGAAAGTCAATGTCATTAATATAGATGATAAAAAGAATCGGACCAAGCACCGATCCCTGGGGAACACCACTTAAGACAGGTTTCCATTCTGAATATTGGCCATTCAAAACTACTCTTTGCCCCCTGTTTGAAAGCCAAGCTTCGATCCATCTCAAAATATCACCTTTTATACTATGGGCTTTAAGTTTCTCAAGCAATCTGTTTTTAGGCACTTTGTCAAAAGCCTTTGAGAAATCTAAAAATATAATGTCCATAGAATGACCTTCATCATGCAGGCTGGTTATGACCTCCAGAAACTCCAATAAGTTAGTAAGGCAGGACTTCTGCTTCTTAAAACCATGTTGACTGGGGTTAATAAGATTATTTTTCTGTAAATGGTCGACAATTTTATCCCGTAAGATGGACTCCATGGTTTTACAGACAAGGGAAGTTAATGAGATCGGACGATAGTTTTCAGGTTTACATTTAACACCTTTCTTAAAAATTGGGGTCACATTGGCTAGTCTCCAGTCCTCAGGGACATAGCCTTCATTCAAGGATTTGTTAAAAACTATGGCTAAAGGTTTACAAATACTGTTTTTTAATTCCTTGAGTATTGTAGAAGTGATACCGTCAGTTCCAGGAGAAGTTGTAGGTTTCATCTTGTCAATCTTCTCAATAATATCAGACTCATCGAAAAAAGTAGTCGACAGAGTTTCTTCACTTGGCAGCCTCGACAGGGTTGGGATGGGATGGGAAAAAACACTACTGAAATATGTATTAAGAATTTCAGTCATTTCAACGTCGTCACTAGTTATTTCTCCGTCTTGCTTCAGAAGTGGACCAACATTAGATTTAATTTTGGTTTTATTCTGCACGTAAGAATAAAATGATTTGTTATGACGGCGAGATTTCTTTGCAAGCTGTTTTTCAAAGTTTTTTTTAGCATTTCTCACTGCATTTTTCACTGATTTTTCAATTTCTTTATATTCAAGAAAAGATTTGTGTTCCTTTGTGGTTTTATAATGGTTATAGAGTCTTTGTTTTTTTTTCTAATTAAACGCATCACATTTGGTTTCATCCAGATGGGTTTATAGTTTTGACGACGGAGTTTTTTTGGCACATATTTTTCGGTTAAAGCATTTAAATTGTCTTTAAAAAATTTCCAGGATTCTTCAGTATTTAAGCCTTCAGAAATATTTTGCCATGGAATTAAAGACATTTCATATATAATACTATGAAAATCCGCATTTTTCCAGTCATAAACTTTCTCAACAGACTTTGATAATCTAGGTCTAAAATCATATATAATAGATAGCATAGAGTGATCAGATTTACCAAGCCTACCAAGATCAGTGATATTCACAATGTTATCAGGATTATCTGTGATAACAAGATCCAAAATATTCCCCTTAATATGGGTGGGGAAATCTACAATTTGATGTAGACCGGCAAAAATGGTTTCGTCTAGAAATTCTTGGCTTTTTTTGACAGAGCTCTGGTTAGTCCAGTTAATGCCAGGAAAGTTGAAATCTCCGATAAAAATACAGTTTTTATCATGTTCCCTTAGAATCTTGCATAGTTCACTGTTATTTAGATCTGATGAGTTCGGAGATCTATAAACAATTGTAATATTCAAATTACCTTCACCATTATCACTAAGTATAGAAAATTTACAGTACTGATTAAAATTGAATTTTTTAACGTCAACATTAAAAATTGTAAGTCCATTTCTCACAAAAACTAGGATTCCACCTCCGATACCATCCTTTGTATCAGTCCTATCTTGTCTTATCTCAAGTGAATATCCTGAAATGTTCAATAATACTGGGGAAGTGTTACCATTGCACCATGATTCAGTAATAGCAATTATATCTGGTTTTTTATCACTCACTAAACATTCAAGTTCTTGCACTTTATTGCCAATGCTTTGAGCGTTTAGATATAGAATATTTAATTCTTTTTTCTCCTCTGGGAGGTTTCTAGTTCTTCCAACTCCTCCGGGTCCTCTTCCCTGGTCCTCTTGCTGTCGAGCCTGGACCTGGTCCTCTTCTCTGGTTCTCCAACCAGGGTCATGTTGGGGGAGCTGATTTCGACTCTTCTTAGTCGAGTTTTGATTAGTCTTTTTTTCCCTCTCATTCCTACTACCTTCCAAATCCAGTTTAAAGACTGTTCAGCAGACATTTCAGAATTTAACTTTTCAGCTTTCTCAATTAAAGTTTTTTCCCGCTGTCGCTGACAAGGTGTTAAATCAGGTATTATGCTAATCTTATTGAAGAACTTAGAGTGTTTAAGATTATTTGCAGCAGCAAAGATCTCGTTTTTCTCTTCTTTGTGGAACCCAACAAGCAGAGGTCGAGGTTTCGTGGGATTTTTTGCTCCAACTCTAGCTGAGAACTTAACATTTGTTTTTACACTCAGCTTCACTTTCATATCCTTAAACAAGTTATCTAACGTATCAGAGTCATAGTTTTTCCGTTGTACTCCAGAAACCATGGATTCAGGGGGTTCAGGCAGGTTGTGGATAACTATGTTATGTTTCCTAGCTTCTCTTTCCTCGAATTCATCGAGTACAGAGTCAGATGATTCTTGAACTAATGCCTGTTTATTGACCTTGCCTACTTTCTCGTTGAGGGCAGAGAGCTCTTTGTCAACATGTTTGTTTGTCTGGTCAATGGCGTTCTTGTTCTCTGATACACCTGTGGTGAGTGTCTCAACGGATGCTTTGAGACCAGATATTTCCTTTGCATTGGCAGCAAGAGCATCACTTAGCTTTTTGTATCCGAGGGAGCAGCCATCACACATCCAACAGTGAGTCCCAGTTCTGTCCTTTATTGATTGGATCAGTTTAAATGTATCATCAGGCATGTCACATTCTGAAGATGCATGATTCCATCTGTCACACACACAGCACTGGACTGATTTTCCAGTGACAGCTTTTTTACAGCTGATACAAGGATGCTTAACCATCCTGAAAAGTAAAGCAGATTTACTATACGAGTTTGCGAGAACTCTGCAAGGAATCAGTAGTAATCTCTTGGACAAAAATAAAGATTGATTTTGATACTTTGATGCATCTTTAAAGTTTAAAGGATTGAAAATGATGGAATTTCTGATTAAATGATAACTTGGTCGACTTGGCAATTATTATTTGGTCGGTTTATTGATTATCGGTTGGTTTATTTATTGGTTGATTTATTGATTAATTGGTTAATTTTTTGATTACTTTGTTGATTCGTGAATTGGGTAGTTGATTTATTGTACTTGCTTTATTGATCTTTCGTTAATTTATTGGTAACTTGGTTGATTTATATATAATTTTGTTGATTTATTGATTATTGGTCGATTGATTTATTAGTTTTTTGATTTTTTGATAACTTGGTTGTTTTAATGATTACTTGGTTAATTTATTGATTACTTGCTTGGTTTAAATTGATTACTTGGAAAATTTATTTATGCATGATTGATTTATTGATTACCTGGTTGATTTATAAATAATTGGTTGATTTATTGATAATTGGTTGATTTCTTAATAACTTGGTTGATTTCTTAATTACTTGGCTGATTTATGAATTACTTTGTTGATTTATTGATTACTTGCGTGATTTATTGATTACTTGGAAAATTTATTTATTGCTTGGTTGATTGATTGTTTGATAGGTTAGTTGATTGAATTAAGGCCTAAATTAATTATTATTATTAACAATTAATACATGAATGCATCAATAAATCAATGAATCAATTGCATGAACCAATGCATTAATGAACTAGATTAAATGTTCGTTTATTGATTGATTTTTTTAATGATTGAAGCATTTTTTTATTGTGCTAGTTAACTTTTTGTTTTCAGTGCGCCCCGAACATTGAAGCAGATGTGCCGCGTCGAAATTTACAATATGTTGGGTCAGCGGCCAGCAGTCAACGTTTCTAAGCTTCCTCTGCCGCCAGTCCTAAGGGAGTACCTTCTCAACTTCGAACCATAAATATTAAATATACGTCTGTAGATTTTTAGAGGCATTTAATTTATCAATAATGCAATTTTCTAATTCAGTCAGAAATGCGGGTATTAGAGGTATAGATAGGATTACTTCTGGAACGGTATTACTCTGACGTTGATCCGGTTATTTTAGAAATTTAGATATGCATGCATGGGCTCAACCGAGTATATGTTTCCTGACCTAATAAAATTATTTTTAGTTTAACTATAGCATATTATTTAGTTTTTTTATTGAAGAAAAAAGTCTGATTTTCTAATCAAATCTGATGAGCAGAAGAAAAGTAAGCTGCAGCTATGTAAATCTATCATTTTTTGGTCTTCAAACCCGTTATTATTTTTCAACCCCCTTTCTTCTAGCATGGGGCATTATAGAAGGAGGTAATGGGACAATTATGGATGATGGGATAGCCCCTCCAACGAGCCACTTCTCCCCTCTCAGAAGTTTAAGCCCTGTATACGCCCCTGCATCTGCATCTAGTTCTTATGTGTTAACTACGCTTAACTTGTGTTAGGCATAACTTATTAAAAGTTACTTTGAACAGGTTCAGAATAAAAACTTATTATTATTAGTTAATAGTCCTAAAATAGATTACCAACAAAATAATCTAGCTAAAATTTTTCGGAATGTCTTCATTTTAATATTAAATATTAAATTTATGTTATTATGTTAACGTTTAGCGTACTTATTGCATTAATATTGAAAAGACTGGACATTTTGTAATCTTGGTATGCTTATGCTTCAACACTTCAAGATGCTGAAACTATGGAAAAGAAATCCTTGAATTAAAAATGGAATTGATAAAATGCGCAATCTATGTTTTATCGTAAATCGCGGAAAAGTAATTTCTTGCTTGTCCACCTATTTTTTACTTTTAATTTAAAATGATAATGTGGAGTTTTTCGTAGCTATAATCTCAATTTGATTGGCATGACATAGAACAGTTTTGGAGGAAAATATTGATTTTAAATCGATCTTTGGTATTTGAGTAAGTAAAATAATGATTAAGAATCAATCTTTGAATTTTGACATTTTCTCAAAAATGCCATTCATGGAATGTTAAATATCGTACAAGCGAGATTAAATTAAGATTAACATCAAATTTTTGGGGTAGTTCAGATTTAAAAATTGCTTGGAAATCATTTTTAATTGGATTAATTCTTATTTTTTAAAAATAGAACTAAGAACGAATGCAACAAAAAATTGTCCATTTCTTAGACTTCCCTGACATCTAGACCAATTGTTATTTATTGAAACCTAACTTAAAATTTATATATTGTATAAGTTCACAACAATGGACCAAGTAACAAAATTTATTTCTAAAAATTGCTGTTGACAAATTTCAGGAGGTCCAAATTGTTATTTTTTACTTGTAAATGGATTAACATTAGTTTTTCAAAACCGTGAGTCAACATATTTTGTTAAAATATCTCATCACGGCGCACAGTCATACATTATACATTATACATCTTTAAAAAAATTGTTGATTATTAAATTTTTGTTTTTGACTTGTCACCACCTGAAGGAAACTGTCATCGTAATATCAAGTGACCCACCTCAATTAAGGAGTTCTTTGTTCGATTCTCAACAGTACCATTTAAACATTGATAAAAGTAAAATTAAAAGCTATCTTAAAATTAATCCGCAACTCAGCAGGATAGGGAAACCACAATTCAATATAGTAAAGGTACAGATATAAAAACTGGTATATTGTAATCATCTTCGCTACGACGAAGGTTAAAAGTACCATTGTGAATCGGTCATTACACTCTTTAATTGGAGGGTCACTTGTAATAACGTCGACAAAATACCTTTACGTTTTTATTTTAAAATTTGCACTTCCAGCCAGTCATTGTTAATTGGCACTAGATAAATAACTTTACAACTCGTGTTATCAATACAGAAATAATTATGTAAACATTGTATTAAGCTTAATGTGCTTAGTTTTTTATTTGAATACTTCTTGATGTTAAATAAATTCGAATTACTGAACCAGTTTTTCAGTCATTACAATGTTTCAGTTTAACCTTTTAGTTTGATTTCAACTATGTTATTTTGCCATATTTCAGAAGAATGAAATTTTAACCCCCTGAAGTCTTAAAAGCAGGTATGTCTAAGTACAAATGTTTTAGTTGTTGCGTAATATCATAACTTACTTCACTTCGTAAGAGCTTGATTTGTTTCTTCTGGTTAAGATTGAAAAATGTGTTCAACAGGAACCTAATTTATTGAATGGAGAGGTCGCTCAACTAAAATCGCCGGTTCAAATCCTGAATCAACGATTCTATTTCTCATAAATCTTTAACTTTAAATCGTTGATTTATGATTTAAACCGGCTGTACATAGGTCAGTGACCATGTTCAATTTGGACCTAGGGAAGATTTTTTAAAATTTTGCTTGGTGATGACAGGACAAGTCTCAAATTAAATAAGTCTTTTTTGGGTAATTTTAAACGCAGTAGATGGGCTTTGTACTCGTTTTTTTCTTTGAATTTGTCCTTTTTTTAAAACCAAAATTAATGATTCGGGAGGGAGGAGGAGTTAATTGTAAACGTTTTCGAATGAAGCTAAATATTTAAGTATATAAAGTGTACCTCTTAAAACATGATGAATTAAAGACGACTAAGTTTAGGGGTATCCAAAACAAGAGTTTACAACTCTGTCTTTTTGCAATAGGAACCTTTAACGTTTATCCCCTTTCCAACTCTAACTCTACTTTCCTAACTGAACCTAAGGTGTTATATAATTTTAATCTGCCAACTTTTATGTTAGAAATCATGAAGTTAAGTCTTCTCTGGGTGATATGAGCGAGTACCTTTAAACCGGGTACCTAATTTGATGAATTTGAGCCACACCGCTGAACTACCAAATTCTGGTTCAAATTTGAACAACCGATTCAATGTAAGGATTTAAATCGGTAATCGAATTTTGAACCGTGCGGGGGAAGACAGTTCAAAATTCATTGAATTCGGTCCCAGCTAGGCTATAAAATTGTATTCCTGTTTAGAAAATGGCCAGGTTTAGAAAGTTGAAGAATATTTGCCTCGGTGTCGGGGCTATCGGTGGTACTGCGGCGGTATTTGCTGTGGTAAACCTTGATTTTAGTACAGTGTAACCCACAAAGAATGAGACTGTAAAGACGACCGGAAACTCTTAAAAAGTGACGATCCCAAGATTAAATTATAAATTCTGCCTTTATAAAGTAATCTAATGACGTATTACCGTCTCTGAAGTCTCATCCATTGTGTGTACCTGTTATTATCAATTTTCTTTAAGTTTTTGTTTTGAATAATTGACGTCTATTAAGTTTTGTTAAATTTGTATCGGCAAAAATATATTGAAATTATTTTTTTCCCATAAGTTTTATATGCATTTTATAAGGGTTTTATTTTCTGATATGTGGAAAATCAATAAGTTTTGGGCAAAAAGTTACAAAGTATCAAAAAGAATGAAAAAAGTTGCCTTTTGATGTATAATTTACAACCCCCCACCCCACCCCATTAAATGATCATAAATTATTCGGGGGGGGAGGTAATTTTAAAAATAAACACCCCGTGTATCAGGTTGTCGAGAACTACCTGGGCGGTTCTTGGTTTAAGCTTCGAACACAGTTAAGTAAGTATTTAAGAGATTTTTCTGGAGAAATCTTTACACTTGGCGTAATTTTGGGTGATCCTCAATTTAAAGTGTAACATACCCAATTAATAATGAGGAGGATATAATTTCTTTTTATTTCATTCCTTTTTTCATAATGCAAAAATCCACAAAAAAAAACGTTTTCAGTGAACGTTTCGAAAATACTAAATTTTTAAATTAAAACATTTTAATGACATAGGGTTAAAATGTGCGATAGTGAATCAGGCATGACAATGGATGATCACAACGACATTGTCTGAAGATCTTGGGGCTCTGATGCTATATGTACAATAATTCAAAATATTTTTGATATTTTTATTTTTGAATTTATGATAAAAAGATTTAATTTAATAGGTTTGACCTTGTGCAGATTAGCCTATGTCAAAATCAGTCCACTTTTGGTACAGATAAGAGTGGTCGCTCATGTGGTGCCCAAGGACAGGTTTGTTAAGCAACATTTTTTTTTTTTTTTTTGACGAGCTTAAGGGTACCTGCTCGGTACAATTTTTTAAAGCCTGAGCATGGACCCTAGACAACAAGCAATCTTCATTTTTTTTCTTCCTCTGTTATCTACATGATGTATGCTAACATATAAAAAACCACTCTTCTTGATATCTAAACCCTTTTATTAAAAATAGAATATTAAAAATGTAGATTTTCAAAAAAAAACACGAAAATTGAAATTTTGAGGTTTGATCTCTTAGAAGATAACTCTTTATTAAATATAAAAAATTTCCATCAGTGATTAAAAAACAGAGTCATCAAGGTTGAGTCCTAACTTCTGTTCAATAGCATCTTCAGACATGCCCTTAAGAGCTGCAGCTTTATAGCCAGTCTTCTTTCGACCCTTACGGTTTCGTTTGAAGACATTGGAAAACAGAAAGTTGTCCTGCCGTTTTTCTTCTGATCTTGCTCTGTCAATCAGCTCTTGCACAAGATTTATAGCTCTTTCAGATCCATCATTTACTACTGCTATATTCTTGATGAAAGCAGTAAACTCACAGTTGAAATCATTTGTATTCCAGAACTCAGGAGGAAGTTTGATCCACTGGATCTCAGCCCTGTTATGTTTAAGCATGTCAGGGGTGTCAGACTTGGGGGCTCTTTGCCAGAATAGTTAAGACTTAGAAGATCTTCTTTATTTACTACTTGCCTATCCAGAGGAAAATCCTCTGGACGAGGTAGAGAAAATAGCTTCTTGGCCATTTCCCCTCTGTTAGGATATTCTTCATCAGCCAAAGCAAAAACAACTACTGCTGGATCCAGATACCAACTGTGTCGAAGTATGGATGTTATTGTTGTTGATGCAGAGTCTAGGTTAAACTCCTTAAATCTGCTCATCTGCCAGAGAGCTTTAATATCCTGAAGTACATTCATTTGTGTGAAAAACTTATAAGGTTAAACAAATCTATGGATTAAATGTTCTAAACTTCAAATGAGAAATGATTGTGAACTACAAAAAAACAAAATTAATGATGAGTGCAAGGTAGATAGTTTATAATTTTAAAAAAACCTTCAAGAGGAAGCTGTTTCTTATAATTGAAATTTTAAGTTAAATTTTTATCTGAGCTGGAGCTATGTTAGATATTTCAGCTCTCAAGAACCATTCTGCATAAAACAGACTGATAAATGTAGCCATCTCTGTGACCTCTCTCTTCTCATCATTTGTTAAGCCAGGAACATGTTCAATTAGTAGAAATATCTTCAAGAAGTATATGGCCTTAGCCAGAAACCGGGCATTGTGAAGGACTCCAGGTATATGTAGCTTGAACCTAATATCCACTGACAAGACCATTAATACTAGTTCTGCAAGTTCTTTATAGTCCCTACGCTTCCATTTCCCCTCCTGATCAACAATTTTTATGATAATTTGCTGTTAAATTGAATATTAATTTTTAAGTGGATTAAAATAAATTTCTGAGATGATATAAGTAAATGTACCTGGTTCATCACATTGAAGTTAATAATATTTTTGGCAAATTGCAGAGCTTCTAATTTTGTCTCAGATAGAAAGGAGCCAGGGTGTATGACAAGTTTGTTAAATTTAGTTTCTAGGCCAGTATCTAAGTGGTTCCATTGGGTTTTCAACTTTTTAAACAATTGATTATCAGGACCGGTGGTCTTACTTCCAGGATAATTCTTCCAAAAATGAACTACATGACGTTCATTAACATAGCCGGTGCCTACACCCAAGATGAAGAATTGGGTTCTGAATCAGCCTAACAATTCTGGTACAGACACCAGAATGTTGTCCTGTATTTGATGCAGTTGTATCAAAACACATGAATTTAATCTTATCCATTAGATTATACTGCTCCAGAAGTGGTTTCATTAGCTCTACTTGGGCTTTACTAGTACCAGAATCAGTGCCAGGGATTCCACGGAATCCTTGGTTCCAAGGAGCTCTGTTTGATTATCAATCCTCACTGAAATTGCAATCCTGTCCTTTTTAAGGCGTTTTCCATCTGTTAGTTCTTGAACTAATTTTCCATCACAGTACAGAATAATTGGAGAGTAAGTGGAGTCAAGAAGAAAATACAAATTTTTCGTGTTTTTTTTGAAAATCTACATTTTTAATATTTTATTTTTAATAATAGGGTTTAGATATCAAGAAGAGTGGTTTTTTATATGTTAGCATACATCATGTAGATAACAGAGGAAGAAAAAAAATGAAGATTGCTTGTTGTTTAAGGTCCCTGCTCAGGCTTTAAAAAATTGTAAAAATCTCAAAAAAACGGCCGTTTTTTAAACTTAAAGCCCCGAGCAGCTCGTCAAAAAAAAAATAGAAAATTTTGTTTAACAAACCTGTCCTTGGGCACCACATGAGCGACCACTCTTATCTGTACCAAAAGTTGACTGATTTTGACATAGGCTAGTGCAGATACAATAATGATAAAATCCATGAAGTGTTTTCAGAAAAACTTAATGGATAATGTTACCAATTTTGCCGTTTTTATAGTTTTTTTTTAGTAGTCTCTTTTCATAAGTACGTATTTTTTGAATCCCCGATAGATGTTCAGAAAAGCTTTAAAATTGATTAATCAAAAATATATATACTTTTTAATTAACATAAATATACACTTTTTTAGTTGCTGAGGCGGACGAGAATAAGAAGAATGCATTTAAAAAGTGAGCTTAATTAAAAAATAGATGATTCGTACTTTTTAGTTACTCTTTACTTCGGGATCCGAAACAGTGAACCTTTAGATATTGTTTTTCCGTGGATTCTAAACAATTTTTACAAATATCATGAAATGGATTTCTTTTTTTGCGTATTGTGGGCTGCCAGAGAAATGTTTCGAAAAATTATGTTGAGTACAATATGGGTTAAGGTAATTAATCAATTGATAATTTTTTGGGATTAAATTATATTTAAGGGGATAAAGGATTTTTTTCCATATTGTATTTATAAATGTATTCTACTACCTGGGATTCATTGTAGTGATTAAACTTCTGACTAAACAATGTTTTATCTGAGGTGGGATAATAACTGGGACTTCAGGGACGTGAAGGACAACAACAATAACAACAACAAGATTCCCACAGCCTCAAGGTTACAATTACACTTTTCTTTAAGAAATTTCAAAACAAACTATGTTTTTATATTTTATATTATGTGCAAACATATCTAATTTTAGGAGTACAGTTTTTCGAATGATTTTTTAGTAAATGCTTATACCTTTGTTTTTATATATTTATATTATGTTCAGGAACATAATTCTGGTGAGGCACGGGCATTATAATTTGGATGGTAAAGATGATAAGGAGAGATATCTCACCGCTCTTGGTTTAGAACAGGCCAAGATTACAGGAGCTAGGTTAGGTAAGATATGGAAATATATCTCTCTGCTCTGGGTTAAAACAGACCAAGATTACAGTTGCAAGGTTAGGTAAGATTTGGACAGATATCTCACAGCTCTGGGTTAGAACAGACCAAGATTACAAAGCTAGGTTAGGTAAGATATGGAAAGAGATCTCACCGCTCTGTTTTTAGAACTGGCAAAGATTACAGAAGCTATGTTAGGTAATATATGGAGAGAGATCTAACCAGTCTAAGTTTTGACCAGGTCACGATTACAGGAGCGTTGTTAGGTAAGATATATAGAGATATCTAAGTAGTCTAGGTATAGAACATGCCAAGTTTACAGAGGCTAGGTTAGGTAAGATATGGCTATTTATCTAACGGCTCTTGGTTTAGAACAGACCAAGATTACAGGAGCTAGGTAAGATAACCTATTTAGAGAAATCTAACCTGTCTAGGTTTAAAATATGCGAGGGTTACAGGAGCTAGGTTAGGTAAGATATTGATAGATATCTAACCAATCCAGGTTCAGAGTAAGCCAGGATTACAGGAGCTAGGTTAGGTAAGAATGGTAAGATATTTAACCAATCTAGGTTCTGCCTAAGCCGGGATTACAGTAGCTAGGTTAGGTAAGAATGGTAAGATATTTAACCAATCTAGGTTCTGCCTAAGCCAGGATTACATGAGCTAGGTTAGGTAAGATATGGATAAATATCTAACCAATCCAGGTTCTGTCTAAGCCAGGATTACAGGAGCTAGGTTAGGTAAGACATGGATAGATATCTAACCAATCGAGGTTCTGAGTAGGCCAGTATTACAGGAGCTAGGTTAGATATATCTAACCGATCTAGGTTCTGAGTAAGCCAGGATTACAGGAGCTAGGTTAGGTAAGATATGGATAAATATTTAACAAAGCCAGGTTAAGGAGATACAATACTCAGCTGTTTATTAAACAGTTTAACAACAGGTAAAAGTTTTGACAAAATGTTGTATACTAATTTTTTTTAGCTGAACTAAACCTGCCTTACACCTACATTGCTCGGTCGAGGATGACAAGAGCAATAGAGACTGCAAATCTGATCAAAGAAGCCCTTCCAACTGTTCCGTTGCTTCCGGTGTGTATATTTAATATTCATAATTGAAACATTATCATGCCATACATTTTGTTTGGCAGTATTTGACACGAGCTTTATCCAAAAGTAAAGTGTATGTTTTTTAATAATGTTTTCCCCTCTGTACAAAAATATGTTATCCTCCAGTAATTATGAATGGAGTTTGAAGTGTTAAAAACAAATGATGGCTATTTTATCCTCTATTTTCCTCAAATCTCTCATAGTNGGGGCCTTTTTAAAATATATACCTTTGCATAAAATTTGATGTTTGAATGTTGTAGGAGGACGGATTATTGAATGAAGGAAACCCTATAGTTCCAGAACCTAGGGGAACATGGAGACCAGACTTCTATGTGAGATTTGTAGCTAGTTTTTACACCCATTTCCATTATTGGTCATTGATTTAAATTAAGTATTTTTTTTTTAATCTTTTCTTTTCCATCTTCCAAGTTCTCTTCAAATATTCTAAAAAAAAATTTTATTAAAGGTCAAATTTTAAAACTTTTAATCATTAAGTAAGGATCTAAAAGTTGCTTTTAAATTTCCTTTTTTATATTCTTAGAATTTTTTTTTCTTCTTTAACATCTACTCTACCAAAATCATACAAATGCAAATAAGTAAGTAATGAAGTATACTTTCACATCAATTAACAAATGGTTCAGCATCCAGGTATGGAATTGGAGTTCCTTCATTCAACATCAAGTCCTCCTACACTTCAGTTGTTTTTGAGGGACCCCATTTTTGGAAAAAAAACGAACACGTGGGATAAAATATTGCTTGTCACCTTAAACAGGGGTGGTATATTTTAAAAAATGATTTTTGAAGATTTTGAAAAATGAGAAATTGCACATCAAAAGGCAAGTTTTTTTCATCCCATCATGCTTTTTGCCCTAAGTCTCATTTAGTTTCTCTAAACATCATTTTTTTGCAAACGCAAACAAACTTAACTTTTCAAAAAAGGGAGGGGAAAATGATTTTCAAGAATAAATACACCCCTGACCTAACCCTGAGTAGGAGGATGGAATGCTGATTGAAGGAGAACCTGTTGAAGCTGAACCCGATGATTTCTTTATACCCCAGCACGAGGTTATAATCCAGGGTTTAATGCCAAGGATGAGATTTCAAATATGGCGGCAACTAATATCATTTTTTTATTTCTGCTTTTTATCAGAATTTTAAAGTTTTAACATCAATTAAAATTGTTTTATTTAGAGTATTCATGGATGTTTTGCCATCTCAAAAGCCTAAACTATTTGGGTAACTTTTATGCAAATTATAATTTACAGACTTGGCTTAAGATGGGACTAAAGAGTGTTCACAGATCAACTATGGGCAGGCCATGCAGTAGGCTTACAATTTTGATAAATAATTCAAAAACTGGATTTATATCTTGTAAAGGCTGTTAATACATTTATCGTTTAAGCTATGACTGTATGTGACATTGACTGGTGTGAACCTATTTTAGTATGAGACGGACGGTGGGCGTATTGAGGCCGCGTTTCGTAAATACTTTCACCGGGCAGATGTTGAACAGACAGAGGACAGCTATGAGCTTATTGTCTGTCACGCCAATGTTATCAGGTAAATTTTAAACTGTGATCCTGAAATAAAAATAATTGCTGTATTTTTTATTTTGCTTCTGAATTATTACGATAGAACTGATGAGGATTATCCAGATCTATAAATGAATTTTTTTTTCATAATTAAGAGATTGTTAAGGGACCCTAGAGTTGCATGTTTGATGCACAACAGTACCTTTTAAGGCTTCGTCTGAATGTTTTTTAAGCTGATTAATATTATTCTCAATTTGTGGTTTCTCTACAAAAGTCACTCGCACATTTCTTGCTAATTAGAAACAATGGAGAAATTATCTGAACTAAACACTTTCAATCCAAAAGCGACATCATCTTCCACATTATTTATCAGATTAAGATTTTCAAGGGTACCATTGTGAATCGGTTATGCCCATTTTAAAATTATAAGTATGACCCTTTAATATATCGTTTTTCCTCTATTTTTCTGTTGAACAATCTAACATTTTTATAAATACTTTATTTCTTAGATACTTCCTTTGCCGCGCTCTACAGCTTCCTCCCGAGGCGTGGCTGCGCATTTCCTTAAAACATGCTTCCTACACGTGGCTGGTGGTTCGTCCTGATGGCGAAGTACATACAAGGTATATAACAAGTTGCCGGAAGGTAATGGATAGAGAAGTCTGAAGGGCTGATTTCATCACTTATAAATACTACTTTATCCTAAACGTTAACTACCTTTGTAGCATTGGTGAGAAATAAAAACTTACTTTTTAATTAAAATGGAGACCTCTGAAAAAGAAATGCGACTTCTAGACCCAGTTATGGTTTTATATGGTCTAATGAACATGTGGCATAGCAATTGTGCAGGTTACACAGACCCAAATCCTTATTTTCAATTTATTGTAAAAACTATTTGCTCAATAACAACATCAAATACAAATAAGGTGGCTTAAATTTCGTCTTCCAATTCCACAGTTTTATGGGTCTTACTTTATTAGATTTGTCTACATACACCTAAACCCAGATAGGCATCTACTAATGGTTTAACTTTACTCTCAGGGGAATCGGAGAGTCGGGGCATTTTCCGAAAGACAAGCTCTCAACTACTTACAGTCCAGAGGAAGAGGAGAAAAGGAAACAGGAGAAACTTCGCAAACAACAGGAAAAGAATCAGGAACAGAAACTCTAGGATTCTGAACAGGAGGAAAATTCTCTCCGTTCTTGTGCCTTTATGTGAATCCTGAACCAGATCATTGAGGAATTGGATTGAAAATGAAATATTTTTTACTGAGAATCCAAACAAACATGAATATTAAGTCTTGACATTATTTTTGTCTTTGTACATCTTTCAAAATATTTTTCTGTGGCATAATTTCATGAATAAGACAGGACATACCTAAAACACCGGTCCCAGTGAAAAAAGTTAATATTAGAGAGTGACCGGCTATGTAAAAAACTAATTCTGAAAACGTATCCACCCCCAAAGTAGGAGTTTTGAACATCGAATTTGCGCTCAAACCTAGGATTTACAGATCTTTAAAAAGTTTAATATATCTCAAATGAATCCGAAAGAAGTTTTCCACAACACAGCATACTCAGTTCAACTACCTGACATAGCCGGTCACTCCCTTTAATATTTGTATTGTGATACTAAAAATATTAATATTAATGGATTAGTTATTTTCATGTATATTTGGATTCCGTGAAGTTATTTTGTTTACTGTTTAAAAACTCGGCTAGCTTCTATAATATCATTATCATTCAACCCGCTGATATACAAAGTGTATTTAGTTATTTTTTATTATGAAAGTTAATAAAATGTTCCCTTTTCAACATAAATTTATGAATATGTTTATTAAAAAGATCAGATTATTTCTAAATAGACCTTGAATCGGAAAAGGCAGGCGGCCACAAGTCACATTATTTTTTCCTTCCATGCCACATTAGCTTTTTGTCTTCCGGCAGCCATTATGAGCCACACCCGTGCCACAGAATGTTTGTCTTTCAACAGTTATTAAATACGTTTTTAAATAATAAAATTAGTTCATTGAAATTGCGATTTTCAAATATTCAGCGATGTCATGCAAAATTGATATATATAAAAAACTTTTTATTTAAGTTTTAAATTGAAATAATGACTATTTGTACTAAAGCTAAAAGTTTGGGTAAAAATGAAGTTAGTACAAATTAACAAAAAAAAAGTTCAATCGAACAAAAATCTAAAAGGGGATGGTGGAGTTGGCACATTTGATGTAGGGGGGGGGGCCCTGCCTTCATTTTTGGTTCAAATCTTCCAATTTTTTGGATGCACGCCTAATTAGGGTTCGAAATTCCTATAATAAAATCAAATTGAACTTTAATGACCTCTAATGACCTCTAATGACCTCTAAGACCCCCACAAATAGAAAATATTTCAACTATGGCTTAATGCATATCAAACGAAAGCTAAGTTTGGATGATAATCCTGGTTTTAGCTAGGATGACTTATGAACGCATCAGCTGTTCTAGGCTAGATAATCCTGCCACAAATTAGGCAGCATTAGCGACTTACGAATCCATATTTCCTAAACACCAGTGTTAGTGTTAAGAGTGGTATTAGAGCGGTATTAGCTAATACCGCTCTTAAGATACCGGACTCTTGACCCGGCCAATTGTTCAATCGTAATACAAACCTGTTTCTGATCAGCTGACTTTAATGAAAATGTATGTTAGTTCAATCGGACATTGGTGCAAAGAGTGCAAACGATATATCTGTCATCAATTGCAAGGTCACACTAATTGTCAACTGTCAACTGTATACATCGATCGATGCAGATATGTACATTACAATTATTTTCAGGGGAATTGAACTGAAAACTTGGGTTAACATATAGCTTTCTGCATATTGGTAATTTCAAATAAAGGACAAGATGGTGATTTAACATGTTAAGATTCATGATCAAAAGATGATGATTATTGTAATAAAAATCTTTAATACAGATATTGTCCCACGAAACATGACAGTTGGTAAATAGTTTAGAATGTCTTCTTCCATAATTTGTTTAATTCTTTATTACCAAAGACAATAATAAAAACATTATATAGGAGTTATGTTTTCTTGAAAGTAAAATGTATTTGAGCAAAAGATTTTTAAACGAAATAAACTTCTTTCTAATACAGTGTACGGTAGACGACATTCAAAACTATTTACCAACTGTCATGTTTCGTGGGATATTCTGTATCTTCAAAATTACAAAGACGACCTTAACTCAGATAGTTTAGCGAATTGCGGCATTGGTTTTCTTCAACCGGAGCACCGAGCAGCTATAAAAGTTTCACAATTCGTTTTCTTCACTTAACTTTACACTTTTGACGTCGCTTTCCTTAATCGTTTTATCATTATGAAAGACACCGGTTACTCCAATTTACTTCTACACTCGGAACTTCTCAGATATGCTTCTTAAACCAAACATCTTTCCCGTTGTTTGGTTTTTGTAAAGTTGACCTATACTGCAGTGAAGTATTCTAAAATTTGGTTGTTTAACATTGGTAACCAAATTTCGATAGTTGTTTTCTTGGCTTTGTCAAGTTTTTGTACAGGACCCCTGATTAATTTCAACTGTTTGATGGTGTGGTTAGGTTAATTTCCAAATTTAATCAAGTAAAAACTTGATAGAGAGAGAGGGGGGGGGGGGGCAAAAATCAGATTCTAAGATATTACCGTATTCTCATGTAGACCACTTCGTCAAGAATAGTCTAAAAATATTTTGGGAAAGCTTAAATGTTTTTTAAATTCCAGAATCTATAAGATGGATGACGATGACAGGGTGGTAGTTGTGGAAGAGGAGGAGGAGGAGGAGTTGATATTTGAGGCTGAGGATGAAGGAATGGAGGAGGTGAGTGAGATACTTCTGGGCCGAGCGCTACGGCTTTCAAACTTTTCAAATTAGGAGATTGGCGATATCTACTCATTTTCACTCAGTGGTATTTTCTTAATATACGATTTATTGATCCCCCCCCCGCCCCTCCTATTAATTTTGCACATATGTAAGANTCTTAACCTAACCTAAAATAATAAAAAATAAATAATATTTTGCTGAAAAATTAGTGGTGTACAAAATTGAAAGGAGGGGGAGGTGAGAGGGTCCAAAAATCGTATACTAGGACGGACCCCACCCAGTTAGAGGGTTAAAGGGTACCTTAAAGAATTGAATATGTAACTTGTTATTTGGGAATTATCTAAATTTATGTTTACAGTCCCTTTAAAGATTAATATTTGAAGGATGAGGAGGAGAAAAGAACCGTGAAAGCCGTTGTAGTGGAAGAAAACGTTGTGGAGGTAAAGAAGGCACTTCTTAGTTATCTATCAATTATTGATGCTACTTCAGTGATCAAACGAGAACAGAGCTGGAAACTCTTACATAATGAATAGCTAGATCAATGCTTCATCTCAATTTTTTGGTAATCTGCAGACTAATTTAATATTTACTGATATCCCGCAGTGTAAATTTGTATCCGGTAAGGATTACTGAAATGAAGAGATTAAGCATTTATATTCAAATGAAAAGTCCCCAATCGTAGGGGATTATGTGTATCACATCTCCAACATAGAAGTTCTCATATCAGAAGATAACTTTTATTTAGAGATCAAGCATTGATATTCAGATCAAGCATTCAAGATTAACAATATACACAGTACACATCTTTGATTTCTCAAATATCACACAACAGCCATTGCCCAAATAGAGAAATATTATTAATAACAACAATTTATTTTTATTTTGCTAAAAATAGTTTAAGGTTGATATTTTCTAGGTTAACAATGAGGATTTAGAGGAAGGAGAAGTTTCAGAACCCGAACCAGAGGTAATTTCGGAATATCTAAATAAGTCTATTCTTTTTTCGAAGATTTTTCCAGGGTATAAATTTCCAGTAATTATCCCCCCCTCTCTACCTCCTCTCCAGGATAGCCTAGAGAGCCTGGCTTTCCTGCCATATGTCTAACATTGACAATGTGGTACCTATGAGTTCCATGTACAAATTTGATATAAGGGGGGGGGGGTGAAAAATTGGACATCATAAGGCAGGCTTTTCATCTTTTTATCATATGTTACCCAACCAAAAAATTTCTCCTATAAATTATTTTTTTCTGGCATTTTAGGAAATAACATTATTTTTAAATCGGGTAAGTGGGGAGAGTTCTAAAGAAAATTACACCCCCCCCCCCCCCTGAATTTTTTTCTCAGTCCGATAATCTTTTTTATTTCCTTATTGTTTTTCTTAAAAAGAGCAACCTCTCGTGACTATCCATCTTTACATATCCTGGATTTATATAATCACGGGGGGGGGGGGGTACTTTTTTGAGTAGGAGGGAGGCCAGGGGTTTCAGTAAAACAGAAAAAATTCTCGTAGTCTTAACATGTTTTAATCAAGGTTTCCAAGAATACAGGGAGAACCCTTCGAGTTCATCTACCTGATCTTCTTCAGGTAATTGAACTTTACTGCATTTTTTACCGTACTGCACTGTACCGTATTTGTTTCATACATGTACTGTAATGTATTTTTCTTATGTACTGTGATTTATTTGTTTCTATGTACTGTATTTGTTTTATGTTCTGAACTGTGTTTGTTTCTTTGTACTGTATTGTAGGTTAGATGGAAACTATGATATATTCATGTTTACTGACTATCCTGTATATTGTAGGGTATATATGGGAACTATGATATCTCTATGTTTACTGACTACTCCTGTATATTGTAGGGGATAGACGGGAACGATGATATCCCGATGAACCTAGATACTATAGAGAAACTGGATCGTCGTGCTAAACGTTTCAACACAACCAATCCTATGCCTGCTGATGAGGTATCTTGGAAGTCAATTAATTCTCATTAGTTATTTTTTATCCTCGGATTTTTTCCTGCTTGGATGTTTATTGTTTATCGGCCTACTCAGTTCTGTTTATTTTCATACTATTATGGGTAAAACTATTTATATGGGGCACTTTTTAGATGGAAATTATAAACTTCTTGTGCACCATCTCAAAGTTTTATACAATTTCTTTTTTTAAAATTCAAATTCATTCAGATTTAGCTTTCTTTCATGTAGATTTTAAATCTCTATAAAGTGTAACTGAATAAAAAAATCTCAAATCAAATCAAGATTGGTATCAAAATTAAAACACTGAGGTAAGATACGGTAAAATGGAAAAAGAAAATTCTAAAAAAAGAGAGGAAAATCGTCAGAAATAAATTTTATTTTTAAATATCGAAAATGGACAAAGGGACGTACACGGTATTAAGCCGATCTAGATTCATTTTTTAATATTTTCGATGAAAAGGGGAGAAAATTATATTTATCTTATTTCACACAAAACATGACACCCTGTATCTAGGTGTGTAAGGTTTATGATAGCCTAGGAATCCCTGTAGAGGAAAGAGAGAGAAGAAACACAGGGTAAGCATAAAGCAATATTAATAATGAAAGAAAGAAAGAAATATTAAGTTTAATAACGAAAAAATGCACATCCATTTTTTTAAATAATCTGTTAAAGCCCAAAAAGAAAAAACCGCTTTGAAATCTGAATATTCAGGGCTTCTAACAAATATTTGAGTTTACATATCGCTCTACGTTTAGAACCGCCGTGGTCTTTGAGTAAATAAAGGTTATTTATGAATTGTTATTTAAACCCCTCTAGTTTAAGCGGGTATTTTAAAGTGACCCTCATTCACTACGGTAATTATAAAAGTTCGTCTGATCAAGAATGAATGATAGGTCCATGTTTTAGCTTTGAAACTTTGTATCCTCTCGCTCTTATAAAAAATGATAATTAGATTTTTAACTCCATATTTTTAGAAACTTCCGTCTGGAGTATATCTTGATGTATGGAGTCTTTAGTCTCAGTGACGAGGACATTCTGGAGTACTTTGAGGAGTTCAGGTATATATTCTGGAGTACTTTGAAGAGTTCAGATATTTTCTGGAGTATTTTGAGGAGTTTAGGTATATTCAGGAGTACTTCTAGGAGTTTATGGTATATTCTGGACCACTTGGAGTTCATGGTATATTATGGAGTACTATGAGGATCATGGTATTTTCTAGAACTTTGAGCTCATGGTATATTTTGGAGTACTGTAAGGAGTTCAGGTATTTTCTGGAGTACTTGGAGGAGTTCAGGTATATTCTGTAGTACTTTGAGGAATTCATGGTATATTCTGGAGTACTTTGAGGAATTCATGGTTTATTCTGGAGTACTTTGAGGAATTAATGGTATATTCTGGAGTACTTTGAGGAATTCATGGTATATTCTGGAGTACTTTGAGAAGTTGAGGTAGAATTTAGTCTCTTTATTATATACTAAGGGGAACAACAGTTAAAATAGTTTTAAACATATTTTATAATTTGGTTTTATATATAGAACTTTTATTTTGTCTAATTCAGTTGAACAACATAAATTGTAAGACGTCTTTATACATAAAATCTTGTTTTGATTGTTTTTTTTTCGAAATTTCATGCGGAATTCAAATCTAAAAACAGTTAAAAAAAATGAGTGAGTTTGAGTACGAAAACTTTTGTAAAACGAAAAAACTGATGATGGTTTACTGATTGATTGATTGGTTGGTTGGTTGATTGATTTATTGATTGCTTAATTAGTCCTATGGAAGTACTGGATCTGGGCGAGGACAGCTGTATTGTCAAGTTTAGAAACTGTTTAACTTCTCTCAAGGTATATTTGGTATAAATTCGTGGATATGACTTAAAGTAATCCGAACTTCCTTTGGAATAAATTTAACTTAAAAAAGTCGTCACTTTTATCGCATAAATAGTAAAAATTAGAATTTGGAAAATAAGATTTAGTGTAAGCCAAAAAAAATTGGAATTTTATTACAATGACTAAATTATTTACTTCTATGTCAAGTCTAGTTGTAAATAACCTTTCCTTAATATTCATATGTTATTTGAAACATATCATTTTCTGTAAACATGTTTGTCCCAAATAAAGAAATAAAAAGTATCTCTGTATTTTATAATTATGAATATTGGTTAAAACACTTTAATATACAGGCAATGATGGAATTATCTAAGCCTATTGGAGAACCCAAGAAGGAAGAACGGATTGTAAAGGTGAATAAAACTTGTTAATGTTGACGTAATTTTAAGTGACTCCGTTTTAGAAGGGCATGTCCTATTCATAACGGTACCCTTTAAACCTTTGGTTGATTAAGATGAAATTAAATATCTATTTAAAAATTTAGTATTTTTAATTGTGGTTCATGTTTTGTGTTCGTATGCTAATGTGTGTGGTTGTACAATGTACATACTTCATATGGTGATTTGTTCACGTGTTCGGTTATTTCATAATGTCCTCTTCTAAACGTTCATCTCTTCATTTCTTCAATGTGTTTAATGTTTAACAGTTAACTAATTAATTTTTAGCACGTGTTGACCGCTGATGATGAACCCGAGCGACGTGTGGTGACCCGAGATATTAAGGTTATTTCTTTATCCTATCCTAACCATAAGACTTATTCCTCCTTCTTATGTTTATGTTTATGTTTATGTTTATGTGTTTATGTTTATGTTTATGTGTTTATGTTAGGATTATTTTCAGGACTCCTGGCGGAGTATATAAGAAAATTTCCGATTGTTGTCATGATATTCATATGGTTGCATATATCACATTAATATACAGAGTATATTATATTCAATAATTACGAATATCCATTGAATCAAGATTAAAAATAAGGGACATCTATTTCTTTTTTTTTTGTAGTTTTTATTTTTTCTCTTCCTTGACATTTTTTCTTTTTTTTTATTTTTCGATGTTTTTTTTTTAGAAAAATTTCATAGATTTTTTTTACTTATTTTGCCTTTCTGGTGTTAGGAAATACTTGGTATTCCCAGGGATGAAACAAAAATTATAATAATGATATCCAGTATGTAAATATCATGCCTTATTATCGAGTATGATGTGTATTTTTGCCTTACTGTTTTTGCTGCTGCAGAAATTCTGGGGGTAGAAAACTTTAGGAACTCTAAGTTAACATTAAGTTCCCCCTTACGACATTTCATTCCGGCTAAAGTTTAAACCATTTAACATAACGTTAAAATCTTGTTAAAACATTTGTCGATGTTCATTCAAGTATTTTTATTGAAAAAAAAACATATAAATATCCATGTCTTAATATTATATTTTAAAATTAAATGCGCATTTACATATGCAATTTAATCATTTTTTATTTTCAAAAATAGACCCATTTCGGTTATTTTGACGTTTTACTTGCAATCTGAAATCTGCATGGTCAAGAAATACTTCTAATCATTACTCTTTTATTTAGATTAAACTGGGATCTTATATTTAGAATAAACTGGATTCTTATATTGAGAATAAACTTCACTATTATATTTAGAATAAGCTTGACTCTTCTATTTAGACTAAACTGGGGTCTTATATTTAGACTAAACTGGACTCTTATATTTAGACTAAACTGGATTCTTATATTTAGACTAAACTGGGATCTTATATTTAGAATAAACTGGCTTCTTATATTTAGAATAAACTTGACTATTATATTTAGAATAAGCTTGACTCTTCTATTTAGACTAAACTGGACTCTTATATTCAGACTAAACTGGGATCTTATATTTAGACTAAACTAGATTCTTATATTTGGAATAAACTTGACTATTATATTTAGAAAAAACTGGGTTCTTATATTTAGACTAAACTGGGATCTTATATTTAGAATAAACTCGACTTTAATATTTAGAATAAACTGGGATCTTATATTTAGACTAAACTGAACTCTTATCTTTAGACTTCGCTAAACTCTTAAATTTAGACTAAACTGGACTCTTGTATTTAGACTTAACTGAACTCTTATATTTAGACTAAACTGGGATCTTATATTTAGACTATACTGGACTCTTATATTTAGAATAAACTTGACTATTATATTCAGAATAAACTGTACTCTTATATTTAGAATAAACTTGACTATTATATTTAGAATAAACTGGGATCTTATATTTAGATTAAACTGAACCCTTATCGACTTAGCTAAACTCTTATATTTAGACTAAACTGTACTCTTATATTTAGACTAAACTGTACTCTTATATTTATAACAAACTTGACTCTTATATTTAGACTAAACTGTACTCTTATATTTATAACAAACTTGACTCTTATATTTAGACTAAACTTGACTCTTATATTTAGACTAAACTTGACTCTTATATTCAGAATAAACTTGATGGTTTGGTGCATCCGGATGATATTCCACTGGAGGAAATGCCAGAGGGGAAGTGGAGACTAGGAAACTATCACAAGAAGGTATGAACAAGCTTGGTCTATCCGGGTTTTTGTAAAACATGTTAGACTTATAGTTCTGTTCTTCTTGTTCTTCTCGAAATTACATTTGCCTGTTTTAGAATAGATCAACATTAACTTAATTACCTTGATGGCTTGATTGTTTGTATAGATAGTTTGGTTGGTTGGTGGGTTGATTGGTTGATATAAACCCAGGAACACTTATATTTCAGGTGATAAATATATACCTAGGAACACATATACTCCAGGTGATAAATATAAACCTAGGAACACATATATTCCAGTTGTTGAATATAAACCTAGGAACACATATATTTCAGGTGATAAATATATACCTAGGAACACATATACTCCAGGTGATAAATATAAACTAGGAACACATATATTCCAGGTGATAAATATAAACCTAGGAACACATATATTCCAGGTGATAAAATAAACCTAGGAACACATATATTCCAGGTGATAAATATAAACCTAGGAACACATATATTCCAGTTGTTTAATATAAACCTAGGAACACATATATTCCAGGTGATAAATATAGACCTAGGAACACATATATTCCAGGTGATAAATATAAACCTAGGAACACATATTCCAGGTGATAAATATAAACCCAGGAACACATATATTCCAGGTGATAAATATAAACCTAGGAACACATATATTCCAGGTGATAAATATAAACCTAGGAACACATATATTCCAGGTGATAAATATAAACCTAGGAACACATATGTTCCAGGTGATAAATTTAAACCTAGGAACACATATATTCCAGGTGATAAATATAAACCTAGGAACACATATATTCCAGGTGATAAATATATACCCAGGAACACATATATTCCAGGTGATAAATATAAACCTAGGAACACATATATTCCAGGTAATAAATATAAACCTAGGAACACATATATTCCAGGTGATAAATATAACCCAGGAACACATATATTCCAGGTGATAAATATAAACCTAGGAACACATATATTCCAGATGATAAATATATACCTAGGAACACACATGCTATAGTATAAATCTATAAGCACATATTTTCAAATGAATTATTACTTAATATTATTATTTCGGGAGGAAAGGAGAGTAATAGATGTTTTAAACCCCTGGTTCATTTAGAAATAGAACCTCCTGTGGAAGCTAAGGAAAAGGAGAAAGAACTTGAAGAAAAGAAGAAGAATTTTGATAAGAAGAATCCCTGGGGGGATATTGCAGAGGAGTGGATTGCTGGTACAGGAAGACAAAGGTAAAACAAGGACAGGGGGGGGATACTTTGATAAGAAGAATCCCTGGGGGGGATATTGCAGAGGAGTGCAGTCGTCTTTCCAGTCTCATCTTTTGTGGGTAACCCTGTACATGTGTCCATGTTTCCTGTTTAATACAGTAGATTTTATTTTAGGGAATATCCTATTGGATTAGAAGATCTAGAGAATCCACCTCGCAGGTAATTTTTTTATTTTATTTTTGGGGTATATTTTGGTGAAATATCATTTTTATCCAGAAGTTAGGCTTGTTTAATCTTTATGGTTTTATTAGCTGAATTGGGGGAAACTAAAGGATTTTTACGGGGGAAATAATTAAATTTTGGATTAAAAGTATGATTCAAGAATGATGAAACTTGCCGTCCAATTTTTCATTACTTTTTCCCAGATCTTCAAAAATAATTTTTTTTAGCTGGGGGGTAGGGTAATTCTTAAAAAGTATTCACCTATAATTATCTAGGTTTGCGTCAGGAATAAAATTGTCTAGGTTTGTGTCATAAAAATATAATTCTCTAGGTTTGCGTCAGGAATAAAATTGTCTAGGTTTGTGTCATAAAAATATAATTCTCTAGGTTTGCGTCAGAAATATAACTGTCTAGGCTTATGTTAGGAACACAATTGTCTAGGGTTGCGTCAGAAATACATTGTCTAGGTTTTCGTAAGGCGCAAAGGTGGTTTTAGGATAAAAATGTGAGAGAAAAAATACCATTTTAATATGAATATCGAGGTTTGCGTTAGAGAAATAATTTTCTGGATTTGCGTCAGAAATATAATTGTCTAGATTTGCGTCAAATATATAATCGTCTAGGTTTGCGTTAGGAATGCAGGACTGGGATGCTCCTCAAGATGACTCCCAACCTATACGCATTTACGCTCCTGCTTCAAGGTAAAATACATCTTGGTCAACTTTGAAGATTTTTTTCAGTTGAAATAAAAACAATTTCTTCAAATCTGGATTTTCCTTTCAATTAAATTGAAGTTTGTAGTTTTTGTAGTTTTAGTAAATTGTATTCATACCATAATAACGTTTGTCGAGAATTTCTCTGAAATTTCCGATTTTTGAGTTTAATCAGCTTTCAGCAATTCATTAATTGTCCTTTATTTGAGTAACCAGTGCTTAATATCTTTTTTTAATTCAGATCTGTATTTTGGATCTTTCCAATTTCGCCCGATTCAGCTCGTACATTTTTCTTTAAGTTTTGCTTATTTCTTTAGCTTTATAAATTTTCGGATTGTTTTCCACTTATTTTGTATATATTATATGTATGATATTATAATCTTGATTAAATATCATGAGATGTGTGATAATATTTCTCATATCTCAAAAAAAAAATTTTTTTGTTATTATCTTGCCATTTAATGATATATTTCGAATCTCATAGCTTTACCGACTCACGATTCATTTCATTTTAATCTGAATCATTGATCTGGTCGTAAAAAAAACCGTAAGTTTTATTATTCCAGAAATCTGAAATCTTAAAATTTTGTGTCTTTTATTTTTCCTAAATCTTATGCTGTATCTTAATTTTTCATTGAGTAGAGAAGTGTTGATGATTTAATGATTGCCAGTCAACTGGCAATTAAGATTTTTCTAAACAAATAACTCTTTTTATAAAGTTCGTCACTTAAACTTTGCATTTCAGGAAACGGAAGATATTTGAAAGATTGGATTATGATGGTCGTGAATCTCCAGGTCAATATCATTTTAAATAGCCACCTTTAAAAAGATCTTTAACACTGATAAAAAATAATAAATTGTGGCGCCCCTGGATTCCTGGAATACAGTTCACAACAAGCGTCGCTACAAAATGAACTTTAATTATCTTACCCTTCTTTCCACAGGGTTATATATTTACTTGAACTTAAGCCCCCCCCCCCCCCCCCCCCCCCTCGTTGTCAGGGATTTA